ATGACCTTGCCTAAATCACATCCCTGTACCTCATTTTCAATTATGTAGATTAGGGATAAAAATTATTCACCTTCTTAGAGTGTTTTGATATGTATTGGTGCACAGCTACATGCTATGATTTTAACACCTCACAATTAACGCTCCATTTCTAGTGTTTTGAAGCCGCTGTCAAAACTCCCACCACTTTCTGGATGATGCTTCATGAGGTGGGGTTTATGGATGAATGCTCACCTAAACAGGCAGGGGACAAAAGATTTCAGAGGATGCAAGGCTGATGAGCTGCCTGTGCTGTGGTTGTTACTTCATGTTTCAGAAAACGTGAAAAAAAATTAAAATAAATAAATAAAAGATGCAGTTGAGGGGCTGAGGAGTGCTGGTTGGTGGTTGCGAATGGCTTGGCAGCAGCAATTCTTCTCTGGCCCTTGAGCAGTCAATGTTCCTAGCAAGAGAGATCTTTTACTCCTGTGGAAACATAAGCACCAGTAATGACTACTATTATCCTTGATAAGATAGCAGCTGCTTCCAAACCAAACCAGAAGAGATATGCTACAGAAAGTTAAGGGGTAGAGAAGATAGTCAATGAATATGGCTGGAAAAAGTAGAGATGTGTGTGCATCCAAGCATGTATGTGGTTCTGACAGCAGATTTAATCCCACCAGCTCTTTATTTGCCAGGAATAGTTAACATTCACTAAAGCAAGGTCAGGCACCAGGTGCCTGGTGAGCAGTGAACCCACCACGCTTGTTTCACCCCATTTTTATCTCCATCTTCCCATGTTTCACCACATATTTTTCTCTCATCTTCCCATGTTTCCCAATATTCTAGGGGTGAGTACAGCCAAGTCATGGTTGTTCCTGAGAGAGGCAAAGGAAGCTTCTGGTGCTGCAGGCTGGGGTTTTAGTTAAATGAAGCAGTAATGTCATTATCTGTTCCATCTATGCTTCTACAGTCAGGCTCAATTGTGCTAATCATTGCAGAAGCAGGTGACAAGGAGCTTACAATCCAGCCTGTCCAATATCAGGAAAGCACAGACTTCCAGCATCACCTGGGGAAAAGGAAAGAAGATCCTGTGAGGGCTTTTCAGGTGGTTCTTGCTCAGAATCCCCCAGTGCCCAGCTTGGATCCTTTTATGAAAGAGAATAAATGAGATAAATAACTGCTCTTTTGGATCAGGACATTTGGGGAACAGAATGCATTTCCCTAGATCACACTAAATTATACAGAGTCAAGCAAGCAAAGTGATTCTTTTGTCCCCAAAGCTCTTCTCTTCCTCTAATTACATTTGAAATGTTTTGCATGCTATTGAAAATGTCACTTCCAGCTGCAGACCATTAAGGAGCCTATGTGGCACTGCCATGGGTTTTATTACGGCAGGTTTGTTGCTCAGGATTTCAATGGCAGCAAAACGAGGCCTGGGGTGAAATGCCTTTTGTTACAAATGTTGAACACTTGTTTTGGTGGTAGGGGACTTTTCACAAAGGCACAGTGCTTGCCAAATTATTTTAAAGACCAAGGGATGAATAATTGGGCAGGAATTACTCAGATATATGCTATTTCTTTCCTTCTGCTTCAAAGCATTAATGGAGGCAAATGTAGTGGTTCTGGCTTGTACTGGGCAGGAATTTGTGCAGCTGATGTTTTCTTGAGTCCTTGTTTTCTGGGTACTGTTGCTTGAAGTGCCAACAGGACACAAGCAGGTCTGCTCTGTTTTTTTCTGCAATCACCCAAAGCTGAGTGATGGAGCTCTGGCTCTCACAGTGGATCAGAATCAGGGACAGTGTACAGAGGAAAGGCTGATGGGCCATTGCTACAGAGATTCTTCGGTTTCTGCTTGCAGCCAGGCTGTGTGAGCTGTGGTCAGGATTTGGGAAAGTTCTTTCACCCTCCTATAGTCACATCATCTTTCTTGCTCCTCTTCTTTTGTTCATGCTGCTCTATAAACCAGCTTGGGCTGTGGATTTGGTGACTCTTGGGTAGGAGTTTCCTTTCCTGTCATTGCTTAGGTACTGTAGAGTCTCTGAGCCCATTGCAAAAGTCATAGAGGAACACAAGGGGTAACTGGGATAACAGCCTGAAACCAGGATTTCATTACCTGGAAAGCAGTTCTGCCAATATGATTTGTTCTCCTTCTGCTGATGTGATGCCCAGCACACAGAGCCAACCCAGTAGAGGGAAAGTCTCAGATTTAGACTCTGTGCATCATTGGCCTTTTCATTTTCATTTCCATACCAATGCAAAGAGGAATTTCATAAATACTTTCCCAGTCTGAAACAAAAGAAAAACAACAACTTTTCCAGTAGAGCAGGATACATTTTTCAGACCTGAACCAACCCTTCCATTTCCACATCAGCTTTTAAATGGTGTTTAATGCTGTGGCAATGAAACCCTTGATGTGACACCACTCCTGGCACCATGGGACATGGACACAGGATGGGGAGATATGCTGCTATGGACATGTCTAGTACAGCTTTCATCTGGGGTGAGCTAATTCTCCTAGAAATGAATAGAAGATCCAAATATGTGTCTCATAATCAAAGTCACTAACAAACAGGAATGAAAATGAGAGAAGGCAAATTCTAGTGAGAGAGAAGAGAAATGTTTTTTCTTTAAAACAGGCAGGAGGATATTTTTAGGGAAGGTGTACCATTTTTTTAAGACAATCTATCCAGCTCCTTGATTTATGTATCCCAGTGCTGTAAGGGACACCCTGTTGGCATTTGCTTTTCAGTGTTGATCCCTGACAGAGCTCAGCACTTGATCTTTAAATAGCCCAGAGCTGATAAAAGCATCATTGTGGGGAGGAGCTGGCTTTGTCCTCAGCTCCAACATCTGCAGGAAAGTCAGGTCTGTCCCATCTCTGCCTTTGATAAAAGAACAAGATTTTGTTGTAGCTTCTTGGTGAGTGTGGCTGCTGGCACCAGGCTGGAGAAGAGAGAGGAGGGCATGTGCATCTCTCACAGACCCCTTTCTGGTACTGCTGCTTAGCATTGATCCTGCCCCCATAATCTTGTTTGCTGTTGGCAGCCAGGCTGAGATCAAAAATTTATTCCATCCTGGTCTGCAGGCACTGACATCTCTCAATGCAGAAGGAAAGCATGTTTTCTTTCTTTCACACTGTACTGTTGTCACTAAAGTTTTGATGGAAGCAGAACAGCCTCCTGAATATCCTGCAGAGATGTTCATTGAACTTAAATGGAAAAGATCCTACCAAAAGATTAACAGCTGACACTGCCAACATGTGTAGAATAAATTTCCAAAACAGCTCAAAGAGCAAGTTGCTCCAGTTAAATCACAGTTAAATCACAGTTAAATCCAGTTAAAGAGCCCTGGAATACTTAACAGAATTGTAGAATGGTTCACAGAATGGTTTCAGTTGAAAGAGACCTTAAAGACAATTGAGTTCCAAATCCCTGCCATGGTCAGAGACACCTTCCACTAACTCAGGTTGCTCCAAACCCCATCTAGCCTGGCCTTGAGCATTTCCAGGGATCCAGGGGCAGCCACAGCTTCTCTGGGCAACCTGCAAAATTAAACCAGATGGAACCAAACTCTTTTCACCTGTGTCCAGTGACAGGACAAGAATGAACGGGCTCAAACTGAAATAAAGTAAATTACATTTAAAATAAGAAAAGAAAGCTTTTTTTCCTCTGTATGGTAATCAGACTCTGGCACAGGCCACACAGATTGGTTGTGGAATCTTTATCCTTGGAGATATTAAAAACCTGGCCACAGCTGGCTCTGAAGAACCTGCTTTAGCTGAGTTTGCTCTAAGCAAGGTGTTCTACAGATGAACCTTCCAGGCACAATGACTTTGCAGTTCTGTGCCCCTGAAATTTAAGGGGAGAATGGTGGTGTTGGTTGAGGTCTGTGCTGCATAGTGCACAGTTTAATTTCCTAACTTGGAGAAAGTTCAGGAAGCCAAACTACAAAACAGGATGGCTGTGAGGCTGGTAAAGAACTGCCAGCACATGATGTGGAGGCTCACAGTCCACAGGAGAAGAGTGACTTGTTGACATAACTCAAAATTGTGCCATCATTTTCCATTCAAGGATAATGAGGATTAATTTTTGCAAATGTAAGAAATAGGCAGTGAATTCCTGGAAGAGCAAGAGCTGTTTAATCTCTCCAGGATGTACATAATAAGTGAGCAGATATGTCTCATCATGAACATAACCTTTTTTTGTCTGACTAAGAGCAGGACTTGAAAGCAAAACTGTCAGAAACCTCCTGTCCCTACCGAGGTCAACGACTGCTCCTGTGATTTTAACAAATTAGGAAAACATTCTCAAATGCTGTTTTCTTTGTTTTCAAGTTGCTTTTCCAATGAGAAAAAAAACCAAACTGAACAAACAAAGTAGCAAGCTAAAAAAGGTGCTGTGGCTCCTTAGAAGGCCCCAAGGGAAATGTAAAGTGATTTGGTCATCCATGCTGGAACATTCATCACTTTACTCCGTCCTGTTTTCACATCCAGTCCCAGCACTCATTAATTTGCCCTCATTCCTTGGCAAGGGTGGGAAGTTTCCTTGCACATGCTGACTTGCAGGGCCAATGGAGGAAGTTGTACTTTACATTCTGACTTCAAATCCAAAGAGGAGAGAGCCCCTGCCTTAGTGCTTTTAAAAAAGATGGGGGCAAATGTTTTAGCAGGGCCTGCTGCAACAGGGCAGTGGGGGTGGTTTAAAACTAGAAGAGTGTCAATTTAGATTAGATATACAAAGGAAAAAATTGTTTACAATGAGGGTGGGGAGGCTCTGGCACAGATTGCCCAGAAAAGCTATGGCTGTCCCATGGCTGGAAGTGTCCAAGGCCAGGCTGGACAGGGCTTGGAACAGCCTGGGATAGTGGAAGGTGTCCCTGCCCATGGCAGGAGAGCTGACCTTCCAACCTGAACCATTCCTTGATTCCATTATATATGGCAACAACGTGGAACTACCAAGGAAAGGTACCTCCCCTCCTATGTGCAAATATCCAGACCTTTTTTATTTCTGTTGTTTTACCAGGAATTGCCCCAGGCTGGCACCTGGAATATATTGATGTGATAGACTCTGCCATGGACAAGACATTTCGCTTCCAGTGTGATCGCTGGCTGGCTAAAGGTGAAGACGATGGGCAGCTCATCAGGGAGCTGGCCTGTGCCAATAATGACATCCTGGAACTGAAGGAACGGACTGGTGAGTTTGGGGCACTCTTGTGCCACTTTCTGAGGGACCTCAGAGGTCACAGGACTACATCTACTGCAAGCTGGAGGCTCCCATGCAGGCTTTAGGGGTTATTTCATGTACACTTCAGTTCAATAGTGCAGTTCTAGAATAAGAAAGAAATGAAATGGGATTTGCGAGGAAGAAAAAGATCTCATTCTGGGTTGAAACCAAAGAGGGGCCCATCTGCAGAGGTTCAGTCCATCAGTAAGCCATGAGAACACATGGATATGATCTCATTAGAGGTAAAGTACTTGAGGTTTTGAGGTGGAAGATAAGTTCAGTCCTTAAAGCTTGGTAAGTAACATTGCTCCAGCTTCCTCCTTAACTGGTTCTGGGGTATGAGCTTAAGTGTCCCAGCTGAACATATAAACTGAGTTTAACAGCCCATGGCCCTGGGTCTGCTCTGGGTAATCCCACTGGGGCCAAGGTAATTACACTGCTATCTGATGTGGTGGGTGACTCAGCCAACAAGAGTTACTTAACCACACTGATAATATGCAGAATCCATCTCAAGAGCTACTGCACCAGTGCTCTTCTTCAGGAGAATACTGGGGAGACAATAATCACATTACCTCACTGTGATTGTGCTCTGCCCCTGAAAAAAATCAGCCTCGTGAGGACCATTTTGGCTACTTACAGACCACCACAGCATCTGAGCACATCCTGCAGGGTACATGGACACCCTCCCTCTGCTAGGAGCCGTGGCACAAATAAAAAAAAGAAAAAAAAGAAAGAAAGAAAAATAAAAGAAAATAAATATGGAGGATTCAGGCTGTGTTTTAGATGAAGTGCTTAGCACAGCATGGAGCTGGACACAGCTTGTTCAAGAGGGACCTCAGTTATCCTTGTGAGTCCCTCCAAACCTCCAACACAGAATATTCTATGATTCTAAGAATAACTCCATCTATTCTTACTACCAAATTGAGTAAGACTTGTATTTTTAATGTATTCTCTCCCAAACCGTTTAGAAGTCAAAAGTCCCACAGATTTCAGTGTGTTTCCTCCCTTATTTTGCAAATTCTTGCTGTCTTGTGGGCTGTGATAAATTTTAGGAAAAGGGTTTTTAAGCAAAGTGATAGCCAAATGAAGAGATCTTGCAGGCCATATGCTCCTCCTTTTCTGTTTAATGTGTGTGTTAATTATGCTTTAAAGCCTATGAGATTGTCACAGTAACCAGTGACAGAGAGGATGCAGATACAAAGGAAAACATCTGGATCATCCTGGAAGGGAAGATGGGCCGCTCAAAGGAATTCCTCATGGAAAACTCTTCCAAGAAAAGGAGATTTGAAAGGTAGTAAACAGGATGGTAGGCCACAGGAACACCCCACCCATTGTGTATCCTCCACAAATGCCATCTCTTCTTGCCATAGGGCGCTGCATTTTTGCCATGCTGCTTCTTATTCCCCTTCCAAAAAGCTTGATGGCTTCCCACTTGGATTACAGGGAAGATTATCAAATAACTTTCTGGTGGACAGCCACAAAGTAGGGTTTAGGACAGCAAGAAAATATTTAATATTTTCAATAATATCTACATTTCCTTTTGACAAATCTAAGAATATCTATCAAAAGGAAATGTAGATGTTGCACTTGTGTGTGTGTGTCCTTTTGTATCTGTACACACAAAGAGGCTCCTGGCAAGCCCCCAGGGAGGCTGTGTGGTTTTTGAGCTGGGAGGAGCAGAAGGAGGCTGGAGGTGGTTTTAGTTCCTTTTACAACATCTCACTAGGAATGGGAATTAGAGAGAAAGTAATAATAGTTGGGGGCTAGATGTTGTCAGAGCTGCTCAGATTTGACTTTGCAGACAGCTCTGGGGGGTAAGGCTGTGAGATCACTGTTGTGTGAGGAAAGGCAGGAATCAGCCTCCTGTTGGAGAGATATCCATGGAACATGGGGCTGTCATGGTTTGACACTGGCACAATGCCAGTGCTCCCATGAAAACGCATTCTCTCAATTGAAATGCAATTGAGAACACAGCAAAGCAGGCTCAAGCTTAATAACAGGAAAAAACTTTATTAAGCTACTACTATAAAAGAAAAAAGAAAGGAAATAAAGCTACACAAATATTAAAATGAAAACCTTGCAAAGCATTCCTCCTAAAATACAGTCTCTCTTGGAGGAGAAGACTGGTTCAGTCTGTGGCTACCAAGAAAAAGTCCAGCCAGAGAGCCACTCCATCATGCCCTCCCATCTCACAATTTCTCCTTCCAACATCCCAGGGTCCAAGCTGTCTCTCTTCCTCTTTTTTCTAACTGAGGAGGAGAAAAATTTCACAAAGCTTTCATTTCTCAGGAAGGGTTAAAAGTCCCGACTCCCTGGCTGGCTTTCTGCCTGGATTCTCCAGCTCCCACATGCAGCTGGGCACCTTGTGGCCCCCCCCTCCCCACTTCTCTCCTTCCCTGCGGTGAACTGCTGACAGAACTGCTGATGTCTCTTTCTCTCTCAAGAGAGCGAGGGACTCTGGGGGGAAACGAACACATCCCAGATCTCTCCATTCTTCCATCTGCAAGGGGCCAGGCCCAGTTCCAGTCCCTCCACCCCTGGCCTACCTCCGAAGGCCACATGGCTTTTCCCCTCCCCACCAGCCACGGCCAGGCAGGGGAGAGGCTGCACTGCGGCTGAGTGGAACCAAAGAGAGCGAGTTCTCCTGGGAATTCTGCTTTTAACTCCTCTGTGTTCTCAGAGGCGTGTCCACCTTCAATTGGTCAATATCCAAATTGACCTCTTCCTTCCGGAAAAATTCTTTTTCCGTGTCAAACCATGACAGGGGCCTACTCCTTCTCCCACGTGGAGCCAAAGTGCTCCAGGTGTGAGCAGGGTTTTCTGCTTGTTTAAGGACACGGCATACCCTTAGGAGATGGGGACCTCGCCAAAGTCACAGGCACTGCTGATGTTCTCTTGCTTTGGTTTTTTTCTGGTAAAGGAAAGTGAAATTCTGGCTTATGTGGAATTCAGTATGACTGTCTGAGATATCACATGAAATATGAAAGATCAGGAGGAGCTTCTTGAGCTGATGGTGCCTGTGAAGGAGTTAGACACCACTTTTCATCAGGCACAGTCTGTCCTTGGAACGACCAAGGGCCAGTCCAAGAAAATAAATCCAACAGATACTCAGGGAACACAACAGGGATCCAGTCAACACTTTGACAGAAACCTATCAGGCCTGTCCATGGCAGGAGTTTGGAATTAGATAATCTTTAGGGTCTTTTCCAACCCAAACCATTCTGAGAATCTGTGATTTAATTGTTCCTCTGAGCTATCTCAAATTTGAGCTTCAGGAAGGGTAGCTCAACTAGCAAATTTAAAACAGCTATGGTGGGTAGATGTGTAGCAGATACAGTATCTGTCAGGAATGAATGAATAAGTGCTGGAGGGGAAATTAGTCATTCTTTAGCTTTATCTATAATGAGGCAATTTGATTTTGTATGTGGAAGAGTTCGAGTTTATCCTAGAAAGTCCTAGTGGCAACAATTTAAAGTGTCACCCCTAATCAGAGAAAATACTAAATTTAAATATGGAAATTATACTTTGTGTTGAATGATTGTAGGTTAACTCAAATTACTGTAAATGAAGGCTTATCTTCTATCTTCCATTGCCATGTGCAAATTACTTAATGTCCATATGAAGCAAGTCACTGGCAGCCTCCGGGATGCTGAAACTGCTCCCTGTTTCCTGTAGGGGAGCAACTGACACATTCCAGTTTTCTTCAAAGAACGTTGGTGATATTGCAGCCATTTGTGTTGGTCACTGCCCAAAAGATGGGAAGAAGTCATCTGCAAAAGCTGATTTCTTCTGGCATGTCCAGGAGATTATCGTGACAGAGATGGAGCTTTGCAACAAGTAAGTGCCTTCTCATCTGCAAGGACCTGCCCTGGGGGAGCTGAGCAGATCTGCACACATCCTCCTGAAGCATTTCAGACTTAAAGTGCGGAAAGTCTTGTTTTATGTTATGCAGTTTGGTGTGTCAGGTCCAGGATGTCCTTATCTGACTTACCTGCACAATTTTCCAGTTGTTACAGAGGGTATTTGCATGTGCAGGTAACTTTATAAACAAGCTGGCTGGGGTAAATCTCACAGCCAGGATGAATTGATGTCTCACCTTATGGAAAATAGCCAGAGTGGCTGCAATTCAATTGTAGAATTCTCTGCACAGACTGGTCTTTTAAGTAAGTCTTGTGAAAAATTTCCCAGAAACAAGAGTAAGATAAAGTCTAAGTCTCTAATTCAGACCAGTTTGGATAAAAGATCCTTCTGGCCTGGTCCAAAAGGCTGCACATGACTGGAAAGGTTGCAATCATGCAGCTCAACCATACCTGAAGAGCCCTGAGCATGGTCAGGTCATGCACACTTTTGATCTGAGTCCCATCTTTGGAAGGGGAGCAGATTCCACAAAGACTGTGCAGGAGCAGAGGAGATCACCCATTTGCAGAACAAATTGCACTTCAGTAAAATAATCCACAACTTTAATTGTGGATTTCTTCTCTTCTCCATGATATTTCCATTGCTGCTAAAGAATTTAACTACAAGGAGTTTGTTCCAGCTGAGACAATTGAGTGTTTAAGAAGAAATCCTTGAAGTGGTGTTTTTTTGGGTTTTTTTTAGAAGCTAAGAGTCTCTCCTAGCAAATTAATCAGCCAGCTGAAGAGCCTTAATAATATTTGCTGAATGAAAACTCAGTCAATTGCATACTAAAACATACTCTTTTTCTCCTGGTGGGGAAAAGCCTGGAACCCTCCAAGTCCTGCTGTGCAATCAGATCTGCGCACTGAACTCATTGGGAGCATGCTGAAACTGCTGGGACAGTGTGCTGTGAAGGGGCCAAAGGTTTTCTCATAAAATCCCACTTTTTAAAGATTGTTTTAAATTAAAGAGGGTAGCCAGAAGGTACGGGTAAAGCCTGCAGTCTGTCCTTGCACTGGAGCAGGGCTCCAGCTCTGTAGATGCAGCACGTTACAGTGGTGTTCTCTGTGCAAACAAGCAACTGGAGAGCTTGCACCAAAAAAACAAGTTCTCACTTAAGGTATTACCCATCCCAAATATCAAAAACCCTACCCAGAGAAGCCAAAGAACAAATTTAAAGAGTTACCAGATTGTTGCAGCAATAGTTTTGAATTATACTGGGATTTTTCCTTTCTTAGTATGTAAAAAGATAGTATTTAAAGATTTTCCTTGCACATTCCAGGGCTACAAAGGTTTTGGTTTTTTGGGTTTTTTTTCTTTTTGTCCCTTGTGAAGATTGGCATGCACCATTTTATTTCCAGACCATGAGATATTACGCAGCTGAGGAAATCAATCTGCAGCACTGGGCATCCTCTCCATCAGACTCTCATGCAGTTTTTCTACCCCTGAGCCTAAAATTTTGTTCCCCTGGGAATTTCTCATCTACAATGCCTCTTTCCAGGGAATAAGTTCTTCACTTTGTCTGCAGAAAATGCCAAGAGTATAGGTGTTATATTTACATACAGGAAGTGCTTAAGAAACACCATAGAGGGGGAGTCACAGTAACCCTTCCTCCAGGTGTTTATTTTACACACACACACACACACTGCAATCCAGCCACACTCCATTCAGGAGGACCTGCTGCAGTTCAGTGAAGGTGGGGGAAGGGGGGAAAGCTCATTTAGAACTGATCTGCATCATTGGAAACGAAATGCATCATTAAAAGCAGAGTGCTCCAGACCCTGGCTGAGTGCCAGCAACGAGGCAATTTATGGATGTGCTTGGTGTTCCCCGCACATCACCAGAGACAGCACTGCAGAGACAGGGGCAGTTGGCATCTGGTACCTGTCATTGCTGTGTTCCCACTTTTTTTGTTCCCTGCTAAGGATGAGATGGGTGATCTAGAAAGGAAAGGGGAGATTTAAATCTCCTTCGTCTTTCCCATTCCTTATTTTACACCTTTTTCCTGCTCTAGCTCTGGGTCTGACTGCTTGTCTTGCCTTGGTGGGTCTGGAAACTGGTCATGCCATTGCACAGGTTGAAGAGGTGACAAGAGCCACACAGATCCTTCCCATGTGCAGTGTGTCTATAGCTGTGTGGGATGAGGTCAGATTTTTCCAGTTGCAAATTCTGTCGTGGCTCTCTTTCTGGAGAGATATTCAAGTTCTGGTACATAGAGGGGGAAATGCTGAAACAGCATTAATATTGGGAAATTTAGTAGAATGCATACTCTCTAAGTTGCTGGCTCCATGTTTGTACCAAAGGGCCTGTCCTCTGTGCTGGCACTGCTGGGGCACCTCCAGTGCTGGGGACAGCTCTGGGCCTCAGGCCAAGGGAGACACGGAGGGGCTGGAGCGTGTCCAGGGCAGGGAACGGAGCTGGGGAAGGGGCTGGAGCCCCAGGAGGGGCTGAGGGAGCTGGAAAGGGGCTCAGCCTGGAGAAAAGGAGGCTCAGTGGGGACCTTGTGGCTCTGCACATCCCCCTGCCAGGAGGGGACAGCTGGGGGAGTCGGGCTCTGCTCCCAGGGAACAGGGACAGGAGGAGAGGGAATGGTCTCAAAACATGCCAGGGGAAGATTAGATTACATATTACAGAAAATTTCTTCATCCAAGGAGGTGTCCAGCCCTGGCACAGCTGCCCAGGGCAGTGGTGGAGTCACCATCCCTGGAGGAGTTTAAAAGCCATGTGGATGTGGCACTTTGGGAACATGGGGCAGTGGTGGTCTGGGCAGTGCTAGGGCGGGATAGCAGTTTGACTCAATGACTTTAGAAGGCTTTTTCAACACAAACAATTCTACAGTTCTCTCACATTTGCCCCACAAAGTGGCTGTCCATGCCAGTAACCTGCCCATCATTGCCCGTGGCAGGTACTTCTTCAGGTGCAACACGAAAATCCCTCTGCGATACAAGCGGCGAGACTACAAAGTCTTCGAGTGTGCCAAGGTCACAGAGAGCTTTGCCAGCAAAGCCCGGAGCTTGGTGCCAGTCAAATATGAGACCATTGTGGTCACAGGCTTCGAGAAGGGTGCAGGCACCGATGCCAATGTGTTCATCACCATCTACGGCCTGAACGGGGACTCAGGGAGGCGTGCGCTGAAGCAGAAGTTCAGGAACCTCTTTGAGCGAGGCAAAACCAACAGGTTTTACCTGGAAACGCTGGACATGGGAGAGCTGAAAAAGGTCCGGATTGAGCACGACAACAGCGGCCTGGCTGCGGGCTGGCTGGTGGAGCGGGTGGAGATCACCAATTCGGCCACTGGTGTCACCACCGTATTTCCCTGTGGGAAGTGGCTGGATGAAAACCGAGGGGATGGGTTAATCTGTAGGGACCTTTTTCCTAGGTACTGAGGAGGACACAGCTGCAGGAGGGTTTTGGTCCCTTCAGTATGCATACTTTTTTCCTCATTATACTGTTTTATATTGCCTTTTACTTTTTAATACACTATCTTTTGTATTGAGAGATTTTTAGTAGGAAGATGTTCCTCCTTGTTTAACATTTTGTAAAAGTAATGCTGCTGCTTTTTTTTTAAGTGCACATAAAACTGTGAATTAAATAAATACATTTATTGCTTTCTTATGATTAAAAGCTACAACCAGAAGAGATATAAACTGTCCTTTACCACCTCAGATGTTTCTGCTTTCAGCTCTATGTCTTGAGAGGGCTGAGAAAACCCATTGACCTACTCCACTGACAGAGGAGCATAGAGATTAAGAGAATTTAGACATTTTTATTTAAGAAAATTGAGCTTGGAGATCCCAGTGCACATCCATACACACATATGGACATCTCCAGAGGGCACCACATCAAAAAACAGCAGACACAGTAAGATGTTCTATGGGGAATTCGGACAGCATCTGCATCCACCCATCCAGCTCTCCAGCAGTGGAATCTGGGTGATGTTTTCCACTCTGTGAGCTTTTTTCCGCCCCAGGGCAGACTCTGCTGAATTCCTACAACTCTGCCAAGAGCTAAGATCTATGATTACAGCTGCCAGTGCAAAAGACCTTCCAGATAATCAATTCTACAGCAAGGAAACTGTGCTAACTATATTCAAAGCTGACTCAGGATAATCATACCCTACATGGCCTGAATACCAGCTGCATTTCAGAGCAACTGGCATAATTTTAACTTTTTTTTCCTTTAATAAAGATTGCTGTTTTGTCTTTTTTTGTAGTGGAGAAGGGATTTCCTGGAGGCAGTAAGGGCCAGTGCTCCTGTCAATGAGCTCTTCCCAGGCCCTTACATCTCTACAAGTGCCAACAAGGAAATCTGTTCATAAATCATTGCTTCTGGAGCCTTGTCTCTCTAGGGTGCAAAGCAGCAGGACACATCCTCAGGAGGAAAAACGGGTGTGTTTGAGCCATGAGAACCTTCCTCCTGGCCCACTCTGGAGAGGACATTCCCTCTCCCAGAAGCTGGTTTTAAACAAGAACTTTGCATGAGTAGGGATCAAAGGGGTCAAGTCTGGGCTCACCCCACTAAGCCCACCCACCCCACCAGTTCATGGGTTGAGGATGATGCTTCTGCTGGGACCTTGCCTGGATGTGCAAGGCCAAGGGGCAGGACTGTCCCGCTACTTAGTCCCACACTGCTCATGGTCAAAGAAGGCCCAGCAAAGCCTGGTAATGCTGAGACAGGAGTTAGAATAATCTTAGAAATGTTGTTGATTTCTCAGAGGTATCTGAAAGCTGATAGCCCATTAAAGCCCTTCCAGAAAAGTTCTGGATTTCTGTTTCCCACAGCAGGCACCACAAAAGAGACTTGACCTTATATCATGGCTGTCTGTGCCAGTTCACAAACAATAGCCCAGGCTAATTCATTTTGGAAACCTTTATGGTAACTGATGGTTCTGGAGCAGAGAAAGTTGCTTAAATGAGCCCAGTAATCAACTTCATCAGGGATCAGCTATTCACTGAGAGGAATAATAATAGCAGCTTTCGTTGGCTGTGTTCTCCCTCCTCATAGCAGACTGGTGCTGACCGGCCCTTAGCAAGGAGCTGAGAACTCATAGGAGGAGCAGAACAACCCTTTGGAGGCCCAGAGGAGATTGCTAGGGTCTGATTGCATCCCTGGGAGCCTGCTGGGATAGAGTTCAGACCTCCTGGATACCCAAGGGGTCCCATGAGTGGAGTCTGGTGCATCTGGGTTTGCTGTACTTGTGCAGTGTCACTGCAGATCCCCAGTAGGCATTTGGAGAAAAATAAGGGTCAGGCTTTTCATCTCCCTGCATTCCCTCTCACCCAAGTTTAACCAGCACTGTTAGAAAAAAACCTCTCCTGTCAAGAGGTTTGGCCCCTTTTCAATCAAATGTGTACTGCTGGGAAATAGGAGTTTATCCCTGTACAGTGCTGCAGTCCCAGCATTTCCAGCTGGTTCCAGTCATCCCCTACTTGGTACAGGGTGGTGGGGAAGCTGGTTTTAGAGGATCAGTTTAATCCCCGCTATCCCCTCAACAAACCCACTGCCCTGGTACTTGCTTCCATGACCAGGTTGGATGGGTTGGGAGCAACCTGTTATAGTGGAAGTTGTCGCTGCCCATGGCAGGGGGTGGGAACAGAATCTCTGAGGTCCCTTTCAGCCCAAACCATTCTGTGATCCTGTGATGATTCTATGATTCCATTATTCTTCTATGATTCCTGCCCTAGGAAGCAGTGAGGTAGCTCCTGATCCACACACCATCCCTTCCTGGGGCAAGGAGGAAAAATAAATCCTTACCTTGAATGCGAAATGTGCTCTCATCTGGGAGGAATCACAGGTGTCAAGTGGCTAGAAACATGGGTTGAGGCACAGCTAAAGCAGGAATTAATACCTTCAGGGTGACCAAACTACTCTGTAGGTGGGAGATGAGTTTGTAGGTACCCATGTTGTCATCAAGGCCACTTGCCATCCCTGGACAGGCGTATTCAGCACAAAAGCTCCAGGCAAAGCTGCCCTGAAAAGGCCCAAGGAGAGTATGCTGATAGAGGGTCAGTGCCCTCACTGCCTCCTAGGAAGGCAACCTTGGCAAAGCACAAAAGAACTCTGCTTTTTCTACTAAAGACTTCAAACAAACCTCTCCTTACTGCAAAGCTCAGCTCCACCCTGGCTCTGGGGAATCCCTCTGTTGCTACAACTGCTACAGAAGTAATAAGGCAAGAGTGGGGTTTTTCCAAGGGCTGATTTGCGTTAAGCTGCTTGATTCAACACATTCTTGGCCAACTGGAGATCTAGGGAGGAGAAAAGACAAAATTTTCCTAGTCCTGTGCCTTTTTCAGGGCTTAGTCAATCTTTTCCTGTAGAAGCCAAGCAACCCAAAGCTGGTTGGGAAGATAAAAGCTCCTGCTCCCACCACCAACCTCTACCTTCTTTTTTTCCCACTTTATTTCCTAGCTAGTGGCATTTTAATGCACAATCCTTCATCCTAAAACAACAATGTAAATAAGAAGCAAGAGCAAAGGACACGATTGATAGCTCACATCAGTGTGAGTCTCCAAAACCTGGCTGTCTCGTATTTGCGCTCTCCGCCATTTTTGGACTCTGATGAAGTTCTGTGTTTACTAAATTTAGGTTTACTAAGTCACTTGGGTGCTGCAAGTGAAAACAAGCATAAACAAGGGCTACTTAGCAGTGTTTCATGCTGAAGGACCAGTTGCCTCTTAGTGCAGGACACAGAGAATTATTTGCAAATCCCTATGAAATAGAGATTGCTAATTGAAATTGCTAAGCATTTTTGGCAGCATCATATACCTACGTGAACCCTAGGTTCATGAAGGGGGAATGACTGAGCGATGTGAAGTATCTTTTATTCTGTATGTAGAAAATATCATTTTCTTTGCCCCTTCCTTATGTCTAAAAACGGAAAAAAATAATATTAATGGAGTTGTACAGCTCTAAGCTGCAACCTGTGGGCCAGCTGCCGATTTAGACACCACAGAACACTGGATAAGGACTCAGCTTCCTGACCCTGGGCAGCTGTTGTGAGAGCAGATGCTGGCAGTGAATAAAGATGTTGCATCTCACTCTGTGCTGCTGTGCCATGATGGGCAGAGCCCCTCTCCCTCCCCAGGCAGGCACTGTGCTCAGCAGGGCTATTATCAGATTGTGGAGGCTCCTTTGCTGCTCCAGCTCAAAACAAACCCAACTGCCATCTGCAGCACCTCTCTCAGTGGCATCACCCTTTTGAAGGACATCAGCAGGATCTCAGCGAGAAACTGAAATTTTTCCCCAGTGGGTCATTTTTAACCTGTTTTCTGAGGTTCTAAAAGCTTCCTGTAGCAAAAGCTTTGTGTGGTGTGAACACAGTTCATCCCTTATGCAGCTTTTGATGGATGCTGGAGGAGCCAGCAATTCCCTTCAGCTACAGGAACCAAATCCCTGTGATCAGCAGCCACTTTTCTCCAAGGCTGATTTAGTCTAATCACACAGTCAAAGCTGGGCACTGGTCTCAGCTTTTTCAGGAGGAGCAGCTGAATCATGAGTGGGCAGGAGCAGAGACTGGCATAATTTGTTATGGGAGAAAATAAAAGCACGGGCAGATCTACAGAATGGATTTTGCAGGATACCCACTGGATTCTCCAATGGGTAGCAAAAAGGACTGAAAATATCCTCAAATGTACCTGTTTTAGATTTAAGGTTTTGGGTTTTTTTTTCTTCCAGTCAGTTTCCCCTTCCTTAGTTATTAAACTAGAGACCCAGGCAGAAGGAAATCCTTCTCCACCAGGAGGGTGGGAGAACCTATTAATACTCCTGCAGGACTTGCTAGAGATACCTTACAGGCACTGTGTAATGTGTTTAGAGGAGAAATCTCTCTTTAATAGGCAATTTTCTGAAATTCTAGAAAGCAGTTTTGGTACCTAATGACAAAACTGGTGCCACAAGGTATCACACACAGCAATGTGCCCAGTGTGGAGAGCCTCACCTCACCTCTGCCATGGAGCTCAGCCACTAGCAGCCTCTGCAGACCAGATGGGCAGAGCATTTTATACTCCCAAAGACACAAACAGTAAAAGGAGAATTTATTCCAACCTAAAGAAAGGAAAAATGTAGCAGTAAATAAAGACCAAAGGATTGCCCTGCCAGGTGGCTTCTTTGTGGCACAGGTTTATAGTTAGCAATGCTGTTTTGTTTTATTAGTTATAAATAAAGTACAAAAAGTCCACCAAAAGTGAATCTAAGCATTTACACAATTTCTAATGTCTTTCCATTTCTTCAATGCACTATTGCTTTAATATTAATAATAAATATTTTTCTAGCTTTCTTCTATAAAATAGTCTATGTAGCAAAATGTTGCACAGCACAACAGAACAGCAGTAGGAATACAAAAATGTGGGTGATCCTTTCACCTGCCCAGGTCATTAAAGGAGAGGGGGTTTTGTTTACTCGCTCCTTGTTTGGCTTATCCCTCTTACAATGACTTTAGGGGGGAAGGCAACCAACCCCCCTGTCCCCACACAGCTCAAAATCACAGCTCCAGGCTACAGGGGAGAAGTGTTACAGAGCAGCAAGGTAAAAAACACAGACAGGTTTAAAACCTGGGGTAAGGCAAAGTCAACAAAGCAGCGCAGCACCCTGAAGGGACAGAGAGAAAAACTTAAGGTACTGTGATTTTGTGCCTTTCTAACCCAACTGAGAATTTCATCCAAAGCCTTTTTTGGGGAGGATGGCTACTGGCTGAGCACATGCATCAAACCCCACTTCTGACTATACACAGCTAAATGTCTGCACTGACCAAGCATGGTTATGGCTTAGAGCTTAAAATGTTATCAAAGGTTCTCTAACCTTCTGTCAAAGCTGGAACTCGTAATACTCAGGAGCCTTTGGGGAAAGGGCAAGAGCGAGAGCAGCCATGGCATGATGGGGATTCTCGGCCATGTCATTTTGGGGCTGACCCCCTTCTTGGGGCAGGAGGGCTCTGGGGCTGGTCCCAGCTCTACACTGGATTAAAAGTGAGGTTCCCTCCTGTACAGGAAGAATGAAGCCAACAAGGAAGAAGTGGAAAAATGGACCCCATGTCCATCCCAGCCACTCTCAGCTAGATGTGGTGTCACAGGATCACAGAATCATTGGTCTGGGAGGGATCCTAAAGCTCATCTCGTTCCATGCCCTGCCATGGCCAGGACACCTTCCACTATCCCAGGTTGCTCCAAGCCCTGTCCAGCCTGGCCTTGGACACTTCCGGGGACCCAGGGACAGCCACGGCTTCTCTGGGAAACCTGTGCCAGGGCCTTCCTAGCCTCTGAGTAAAGAAGTCAACCCTAAAAACTGCATCGAATCCCTCAGTTCTGTTGCCTCCAAGCTCAGGCTCACCTTATTGCCTCCTTCACCCCAGTGGGGTGCACAAACAGAGGGTGAAAAGAGACAAACCAAGCACTAATAGATGCCAAAAATTACAGAGCCACCACACCTGGACTTTCTTCCTGGGCTTTTGACAAAATTTGCAGAGTCTTGCACTAAAGGCATGCATTGCCCCTTGCTGTGGGGGTCACACAAGCAGCAGCAGCAGCAGCAGCAGCAGCAGCAGCACCAGAGGAGTCAGGGACAGGGCAGTACTAAGAAACAACCAAAACATTTTGGTTTATGCAGAGCATTGTTAACTGCCTTCAATGTGCAAGGACACAAGTGAAAGGATCACCAAAGTTTGATTATGAGTGCAAATAATATTCATATATATGTGCTAAACATAGTCACTATATTGCAGTTTTCCACTATGTCACAGCATACAGAATCAAAGGTTTGCATTTTTATGGAATGTATCCAAGGTAACAGCACCACAGTAATACAGTTTGTAATCACACATCCTGATTTTTTTCTCCTTTTTTTTTTGTTTTTGTTTTTGACAAGATAAGCATTACCCCCCACATCCCCTGTTTAATTTTATTTTAAGTACCAATGCATGCAAAGCATTCCATTCCCAGAAACAATGCAAAAATGAGGTAATAGGAGTAATAAAAAAAATTAGTAGTAATTTCTAAATAAATAAATTATAATTAAAAATGCAAAAAACAACTATAAAAATAATTAAATTAGAACCCACAATATCTACAAGTTAGTCATAAATTATGATTGTTAAATATAAGGCATTTAAACTCACAAAACCCTGTAAACTATTGATGTTTTGTTTCTAGATTTTTGTTGTTGATGATGTTTGTTTTGTCTTGTTTTTAAACTCATCCTAACTTGCAACCTACTTGTACAAATTATTTAAACGCAAAGGAACCTGACACACTGATACAACTCCAGACACTGTAAATTCGCACGCACCTTGGGATCAGTCACTCACACGAGACCATGGGAGTTTGGTGCTTTTCTTCATCAAAGGTTTGTTTGTTTTTTGTTTGGTTGGTTTTGTTTTTCGTCAGTTTGATCAATTTTATTTTTTAACTGTGCTTGTTTATTAGGCAAATAGTAACACTTTCTCATAGTCTTTAAAAGAAAACACATGGTCCAGAAGTGTTCCTCATTCCCTCCCCACCCAGTGGGGGTATCAGTCCCCCTGTTATTCTCCCTGCTTCTCCCCTACAGGCCACACCTGGGCAGACCAAACCTGTGCAGAGGATTTTACTACCAAAGCCTTGCTTTGCTTGTCATGGTATTAGTATTATTAGTATTATTTGTAATGCTGTTTCAATGCTGGTGGAGCAAGATCCATAGGTATCCATGGGTCACTCCTTGACCCATGGACATCAGGGCTGGGACCACCACATTTCCCAGGAAGCCGTCACTTGTGCTGGGCGGCAAATGTGTCATAAAGTCATGGAATGGCTTGGGTTGGGAGGGACCTTAAATCTCATCTTGTTCCAAACCCCTGCAATGGGCAGGGACACCTTCTGCTAGACCAGGTCACTCCAGATGCCATCTTGCCTGGCCTCAAACACTTCCAGAGCTCTCTGGGCAGCCTGTGCCAGGGCCTCCCCACCCTCACAGCCAAGAACTTCTGCCTTATGTCTTCCCTATATGTCACCATTTTTCCCCTTCCATTCCCTCCCACCTGCTTTGGCACAGAATGAGAGAGGCTCCTGCACCCTCACATGGGGCTTCCCTCCTCTCTCCTCTCTCACTGGGGAAAAAAGGAAATCTCTGTGTGCCTCTGAGGTTGGTGTTTCCCAGTTACAGCTCATGAGAATCTTGCAGTTTCTCAGATAATAGTTTATGACTGAATCTACTTGGGAGAGCATTTCTCTCCAGAGAAACGTGCTTAGAGGAGACAGAAATTATTCCCACTACACCAGCATTTTCAATAGATTATGTTTCTAATTCCCCTGCTGCTTCTCTGCAGCTCCTGTCTCCCTTAAAGGGGGAAAAAAAAGAAAAAAAAAGGAAAACTACAGGTTTTGGTTGTGAATGTTGGTTTTCCCAAGGATCTTCCGCCCAGTCCCTGTGGTTGGCATGCTGAGGTCTTTTTTTTTTCAGGGGGAGCATGGATCACAACAGCTCACTCCATTGGGTATTACCTCTTAATTCAGTTTTGAGTGTTAATGTGATTAAGTTGCATTTTAACAACCACTGCTTACTCTGTGTGGATACGCCCTGAAGCATGCACACAAGCCCATGTGGGCGCGGGTGCATATGCTTTGGGGCAGGTCATGGCCCAGCAGCTGGGTTCCCAAAAGCAGCAGCCCCACCTCCACCCTGCCTTTCCCTCCCGCGCCCAAGGGCTCATGGTCTCAGCAGTGTCTTGCAAACATCGAGTTTTCTTCTGTCACCTTATCAAGAGATGCTTTGGCAATGGAAGGAGAGTCAGCATTTTGCACCTCTCAGCACCTCTCCAGTGTTGTTAAACCCCAAAGAACAGCGGTAGGCACTGACTCCTGTAACCATCATTTTGGAGCAGTGCTGGCAAAGCCAACCATCCACACAGCTCACAGAAGAAAGCATCACGGACAATTGCAATCATATAGACAGAACTTCCTTGGATTTTGATATGACAAGCTACTTTGTTAAAATACAGAAAGCAAAGAAACAGCATCTACTCAAATACTGTGCCGCTACAGAAAGTGTCCAGCACCAGCAGACAAGCAGGAACGAAGCTTTTCCCTATTGCTTCGTTCATTTTATCCCCAATTTTTATTTTTATTAAGCTTCTCTAGATTTGCAACACACTGTAAATGCAAGGGAAAGAAGCACACGCGGCTGAGGCAAAGAGCACAAACCCTTCTGACTGTAAACAGGATTTTGCTTTTTCTCCTCTTTCCCCCACCCCAAAGATGGGGATGTTTGACCTCTTTATTCCCTCTCTGCAATGTATTAATCAGGCACCAAAATAAGGAATCTATGAAAAAGTATTTGGTGCAAATTAGGTAACAGCAACATGTCTACCACAAGATGAGTAGGGCATCAAACACAACATTTCTTAAGCTAACATGCTCCAGCTGCCATCCATAGAAATAGCTAAAGGACCCCTAACATGTTTCTACATATTTGAGAGGTATATATACAATCCCCATGAAAAGCAGGATTGACAGGCCGGACTATCACAACTAGTTCCTTCATATTCAACACTAAAATCTTCTGCAGCACGGGGTCTCTGAGCTCCGGGAATGCCAGCTCCCTTTCACTGGGCCTGTATCCTGCGTATATGTGCAATAACTCCTACTGCTAGATATTATATCACCTCCTCCTTCTCCTCACTACCATGCCTGCAGACTTCCCCTCTCAATCAAATGGCTCAGAAGGCAAAAAATTTTGCTGCAAGGTTTTATGGCCATACGACCTGGTAAGGAAAATGGTGTGTCCAGCTAGTCTTTTCAGCTGTCTGAGCCGAGCTGTGTTTCAATGTCCACCCTGCAGATTGGGCACTTCTTGCTGGTGGCCAGCCACTGGTCCACGCACACTTGGTGAAAGAGATGCATACAGGGCAACCGCCTGTAGAGAGAAAAACACCGCTGTTAGGATGGAGGAGGTCCAAGGGACCAAGAAGAGCTGAAGAACAGCATCTGGGGCTGCTTTGAACATGGGAAACATGCTGTGGTGACACTATTACCACCAAAGTCCTGCAGCCTTTCCTAGCCATGCCAGTTCCACATGGCAGTGGGCTGGAATTAGCATCCTCCTTGGCCTATTAGAAGCCCCCACACCATCCTGAATTGAGTTGTTCCACTTATTAATTTTGCTGGCAGCTAATTTTTAACCTTTCAGGAGCAAGGTTATACTCCAAAGCCTCTTAGCTCTTTGGGGTTGTGTCACATTAGCAGTCAGGTGGGCCCACACCATTCCTACATGGGTGTCCCCAGGGAAGCTGGTCACACACATTTCACTCACATCACCTCTGCCATCATCACATATCACCCCTGCAGTACAGGGGAACCTTGAACCACAAGAACTGACAGAGAAAGGATCAGGGCTTTTCTTGGCAATTTAAGGATGAGAAGCAGACCTGGGTACTTATCTTCTGCAGTCCCTTCAGCCATGATAGTTCAACCCCTTGCAATTTCTTATCCCCATCTTCTGTCACAAGCAGAGATTTGACCCAGTGAACATCCTGAAATGTCTGTTAGAGACAACTGGAGCTCTGTTGACTGGGGATGGTTCTCTGTGACCATGTGGGCAGAGTAATCCTACTTATCCTACAATAAAGTAGCTGTGTCTTGGACACAAGCCCAACTCTCCTGGACTTCACACCAACACTGCTTTTTATCACACTTTGGTCATCTGTCAGGCACAGGTATTGATGACCCCAAGCTCTAGATGGTTGTCAGAGATCAGTCTAACCTACCCCTCTCTGACACTTCAGCACCTGGCCAGCTGGCACAGCCTGGAAGCAGATGATCCAAACCCAGGAAGCACTATAAAAGCTGCTGCAGAGCGCTTCCTGCCTACAGGCCATACCAGTGTCCATCTACAAAAGCATTTGGGTTCCTAGACCCTTCAACAGCCCAGGTGAATTTCTCAGGACAAGAACAGAGACAACCCCGTCAGTGCACAGCTACATTAAACCAAATAAACACAACTCAGATGGCATCAAGAGGCAGGGGAGGAGATGGAAGGATCTCACCTGACATCCTCTCCGTCTTCAAGCATGGACAGACAGATTGTGCATTTCTCATCGGTATCTGACTCCTCGCCATCATCCTGCTCAGCTTTGCCTTCCTGTGGTCTTCTCTGCAGCAAAATTAAAAACATTTGGTTAGACCTTGCCCTTCTAATGCTCTCCCAAGCCTGAGCAGTTGCAGGAAGAAAAATAATGATATCTCCATCTATGAGCCAGATCCTCCAGCTCAGGGAAGCCAAAACAGACAAAACAGCCAGTGAGATGAGTGTGCCACCAACATGCTGCAGGTTGGCATGTCTCCTCCTGACGCTGGTGGCAGTGAGGCTGTTGGCAGTGAGCAGCCTGTCCTTTGCTGCCCTAATACAGCCCTGGACCACTTCCCTGTAGTGGGGATGGCCCCATGATCTCCTTTGCTGGAGGCTTCTCCTTGGGGAGACCCCAAACCTCATGGTGCCACCACTGCCAGGAAGGACAACCACTGTGCCCCATGACAGCTTGGCCACTGGCTCAGTCCCATGCAGCACCAGAGGGCAGTGCTTAACCTGTCAGCTCTCCCTTCTTCTCTTTCCCCACACATCCGTTCTTATTCATATCCTTTTCCTGGGTTCACTGGAGATAGGATGAGAGACAAGTGCAGCAGGAGTTACCTCACTTCAAACGTGGACAATACAACATCCTTACCCTCCAGCCAGGAGTGACCAACACTAGAAATTACTACCCAGACAAGCATTCTTCCCAATTTCTACTCAGCACAACCCAAAAATGAGCCCATCTTCTCATGGGTGGGAGGTCAGCTCCAACAGAGGAGACACCCCTTGTGAAGCCAGGGGAGAGCAAGGTTCCCCAGGCCACAGAGCCGCCACCACCCTCACAGCGGGTGCAGGACAGTGCTACTTGCATGCAGAACGGGGCGGGTTTGCATGCACGAAGCCCCCTTGGTGGTGTGCACTTTCTTTCTTACCAGGTGCGGACAGGGGGGAAATTGCACCCGCTGGGTGGGAGAAGGTTGAGACCCTTTTGAAAATTTGGCCCGCAGCTTCCTAGCCTAGAAGTGAGAAACAGGCAGCTGAGCTATGCCACCGCTTCCGCACCCCGGGAGCCCCGCAAGATATTAAAGCACCCCTGCTGGGTTTTATGTTCCTCCCCCGTCGCACGGCATGGTTTGGTTGATGGTGCCAGTTTGCCAGCCCTGAGGATTGTGACCCACCAAAGTCCTTCCTTCTGCCTGCTCCGTGCCCACAGCCTCTGGCCAACTGAGAGGGGCTGGCAGCCGTGCTGTGTTTTGGGGCACTCACCTTCTTGTACTTGTGGGGGAAAGTGAATCTTTCGATGGTGTTCTGGACGGCTCCCCGGCTCACGCTGCCCAGCCTGTCCTCCAGCTGCAGCAGTTCCTGCGGCACAGGAACATGAGGAAAGTGTTATCCCCACTGCTCCCAAGACACCAGGTCCCACCACACAACCATACCTGCTGGCAACCGAGGCTCCCTCCTGTCCTCTCCTCAGTGGAAATGGACATCAAACCCAAATCAGCCATGCTGTAATGATAGATCTGATCCCTGGCACTTGGGATAATAACTAAGAGCTCAAGGCAAAGAGCTGGACATCCAGTATTTCACAAATGAGGATGGGATTTGAGTTTCATCTGACAGGCTGGGAAACAAAGCCCCATAGATCTGGAGCACTTTGCTCACCAATGAAAGGAGCCAGAGTCAACCCAAGCCAGATCCAGGAAGTTTGGAGTAAACCATCTTTAACTAAATTTAACCCCATAATTTCTCAGTTATTGCTAAAATTGATTAAAGACTCATTGCAACCACCACACCACAAAAAACAGTCTTACAATTTTATAACAGAGCTTACATAAAATCACAGCACTTTAAAAATTAATAATTCCAGTCTCCCGATACATACTTCATAGCTCTCCCGCACAGCGGATGTGTGCCTGCTTGGGTTCAGTCCCTGAAGAGCAAGCAGCTGAAGCTGAGGGTAAGGGTAATTTCTGATTTCATGAACAACCTGAAAAAAGTGAGGGAGAAAAATAAAGCTACTTGTATACTTTCCTACAGAAAACCCTTGTGTGCCCTGATGTAAATCTAATGCTTTAAAAATTCAAATTGAAAGAGTAGATTGACACTTTCACCGATTTAAGCCTTTTGATAACAAAAAAAAAAAAAAAGAGGTTTTATCTAATACATTTCCTATAAATGATATGTAAGAACATGCACTCCTTCCAAACATGTACTTCCTTCCAAAATCTGTTATAATAATTCCTGTATCATTCATAATACTGTGGTTCTAAGCTCCCAACATGGATTAGATTACAATGGCATTTTATTTCATTTAAATGGGTGAATTTCTGTTCATCCAACCTTTGATTTTTTTTTAATTTTTTTTAGGGGTAGCTTTAGTACACAGGTGTCAGGGTCTGACACAGCACAAGGGTGAAACACCCTCATGGGATTTCTGGGGATGTTTTAAGGATTAGCGGTGCTTGGTGTGACTTAGCTGCAAATACAGCACCCTGGTAGGAGAATAGGTAGAAAATTATCTCAGTCAGCCAGTCTTCTCATCAATCCCACCTCCACCTGTGCAAGAGGTCATGCCAGACCTTTACAGGTAGCATCAAAACTGGTGTAGAGAGCAACGACTTGAGGAGGGATGGTCTTTGGGGCTGACACTAGGGAAGGCAGTCACCCACTGCCAATCCTTCTGCATACATAAAAGTCCTGGGAAACCACAATTCCTTCCAGGGTTAATAATAATATTAATATTAACTGCTGAGTCTCTCACATCCTGCCTATGTTTTGCAGACCAGCTTGATGATGCTGCAAGCAATGGACCAAATTCTCCCAAAACAGCTGAGTTTTTCTTTTCTTTCTCTAATCCAGTGCAGTGACGCAACATTATCTTTTCACACGCTCCCTCCCACGGCCAGAGATAAGTGGGATTTGCAGAAGACAGGTGATAGAAAGATAGCAGCCTTTATTTTGACTGCTTTCTGGCAGACAATGCATAAAATATTTCTCAGTAAAAGCATTTCACTTACCACCTGGGTTGAGGATGTGCTTCTGGGGAAGTGGTGCATCCGAGGTGTAGCCAAGTAATGCTGATAGGGCTGGGGTACCGGCCGGACCTGGAACTGGGCGTGAGTCAGCCCCGCGTCGACGCTGAGATCCCTGTGGGCAGCAGAGGGAGATGTGGCTCTGAGTGCCTGCTTGTGCTCATGGACTGAAGAACACCAGACCATGCTCACAGGGCAACCCCCCTGCTGAGCTCTGGGCTGCTCCTCAGCCTGGGGAGGTGCTATGGCTTAGAAGGGAGTTTCTTACAGTTTGAGGAATCACCCACCAGGCCACCATGAAGGAGTGAGGGGTTGTTTCTATGCCAGGTAGCATTTGAGTTATTTGGGGTCAAGAACTGTGCAGATGCACCCTGCTAATTTCAGAATAAGAGCATTTTGGTGGCTTGAAAGGGTATCCAGGCTCGCACCTGGTCAGACTACTGTGCTGCCAGTGCTCCAAACTATTACAATTTGCCTTGAATGTTTTGCAGGAATACAGTTAATTACTCAAGGGACTCAAAAATGGTAGCTTTTAGAAGCTTCCAGTAGCTTTTAGAAGCTAGATGGGCACTCTCTGTGGGCTTTTTTGATGTTCTTGTGCTCTCCTTAGAGGTCTCCCAGCCCAGATCATGGCAGGACTTGGGGAGTCAAAGGACACTATGCCTTGCCTGAATCCAGCCTCAGGGGTGGTGAGGTTTTGAGGTGTGAGGGTGGTGAGGCCCCAGCACACGTTGGTCAGAGAAGCTGTGGCTGCCCTATCCTTGGAAGTGTCCAAGGCCAGGCTGGACTGGGCTTGGAGCAACGTGGGATTGTGGATGGTGTCCCTAACCATGGCAGGGGGATGGAACAAGATGATCTTTGAGGTCTCATCCAACACAAACCTTTCTGGAATTCTATGATTCCATGAACTGCAGAACTGTGATATGTGGAAAAAATATTTTAAGGTTTTTAGAAATGTCTGGATAAGGACATTCCTCTGCTGGAGGAAAGGGGGAAACAAAACTAGAGGGCCAAAATGGAGCAAGACATCCCTGATGGTCATGCTTGCCTGAACACAGCCTGGCCCAGGTGAGCAGAGATGGTGCTCAACTTGGTGAATCTGAGCACTGTTATCCTCCACAAAACTAACCCAGATCAATCCCTGAAACTTGTCATAACCAAGACACCATCAAACATCACAGCTCTGCTCAATCCAACACAGAGACAAGCTACAATCCCACCACTTACACTTACTCCCATTCCCATGTGGAGGGAATGGGAGAGGGCCTATGCAGCATCTCCATCTCTAATCCAATTAGCTGATCTCCATTTTCTCTAGCCTAAGAGTCACTCGGCAGGCGAGTGCTTTGAACATCATTCATTTTATCATCATTGCAAAATCCATTGCTCTAATAACAACTGTCTTCACATTTCCCAAAGAAAAGCTAATTAGGACACAAGGCTTCCCATTTCAGCCTCCAGCTTCTCCTCCCCTTCACAGCGGACAGCAGCAGGGCATACCACACCTTCTTAGGAGCAGCCCAGATGTGTCCTCCAGCAGCTGTGAAACTGATTTCACCAACCAGAAGATGGGGACCTGAAGGGACAGTAGATGCAGAAATCTTTCATCCAGAACAGCCTATGCACCAGGCAGCAGCACCAGTGCCCAGAACTCCTTAATACCTGCATCAAGCTGGATGCAATGATCCTCATGGGTCGCTTCCAACTCAGGATATTCTGTAATTCTATGATTCTAAGTTGAGGAGAGGGACTACCTTTGCTGGCCCAGTTTTAGCCATGTGCTAGACAGACAAAAACTGGCAGAGGATGAAACACAGCAGGCAACTGGCAGGAATACAACCAGGGTGAGAATCTAGTCTTGGCACTTTCTGGCTCCTGTGTCCCAATTTTGTATATTTACCCAATTGCTTAAGGTTTTTCCCAGGTTGATGGAGGTCTCAATTGGAAATCAAGAGGCTTTAGCTCCATTCCCAGCCCTGCCACCTTCTTGTTGCATGACCTTGATCCACTTCCTCTCTGCCTTCCCATATTCCCTGTCTATGAAATAGATGAGTAATTCACTGAGTGCTTTGAGACCAAGGACTGAAAACATTTCTCAAAGGTGAATGGTTATGATTAAATTGCACAGGTAATTGCAGTAACAGGACTGCTGAACTGTTTGTGCATCTCTAGACTTAAAATCAGATGCTGAGGTTCCTGAAGTGATGCTTTGGGTCTACAGGTGTGTCCAAAGAAGAGCACAGCACAGAGCAGTGTTTTCCCAGGGTTTGGGGCTGAAGAAGCAGAGCACACTTGCTAAAGGAGAATGGAACTAACCATCACTTTTTAGCCCATGCTACAGGAACTAGTGTGCAGCATCTTGATGCTCAGGTGTGAGGTCTAGGAGCTGTGATGCTTGTGATAAATGGGCTGCCAACAACCAAGGAGTGAAGGATAAGACACCAGATAGGCAAGACACCAGGATGGTCATCACTACTTGTGTGTGCAGAAGATGATTTAAGGAACCAAATGGGAGTTTGTTTATTCTTCACCAGAAAACTTCAGATGGAGTTGGCTGTCTGAGACAGCCTCAGATCATTCTTCCATCCCCACTTCCACCCCCTGTGGCAGTGCCCACCACTGACAGGCTCCAAGAAAACACTGTTGTTGCTGCTCATCCAGAGGGAACACATTAGAGGGGAGTTTTTATACTTGTCACTGGGCAAAATAGTACGTGTGTCCCAAGAGAAAGTGAGTCACCCAAACATATGCTCACGGTGTATGGTTTCTGTCAACCCCACTCCTTGGGTTTTGTAAGGCTATGGAGCAACAGAGGGGAGAAAAGGAGGGAGGGGGAAGGCACTTAGTGATGCTTTATCAGATACTTCTAATGATCATAATTAAGCACTCTGAGCTGAAAAAGAGGCAGAAAGAATTGCTCTATCCAGATGGTACATGAACCTCTTTGCAAACCAATCTGAAAAATGTCATCCCGACCACATTCAGCCCACAGGAGTGCCAATAATGGGAACACCTGAGAAGAAAATTGCAGAAGGATGTGGTTGTATTTTAGATTGTGTATTATGCACTGAAGGGGGGAAAAAAGCAACAACCCTGGGTTAAAAGGACTTTTCATTTGTAGAGTGGAGTGCTCAGATGTTAGGAAATTCCATCATTAAGGCTTCCTGTGCCATTTTATTCCAGTCCTCTTGTGCAAATACATTGCGATTGTCTTTAATTACAAGTTCACATGCTATTTTTTCCATTCAGTGCACAGAATGGACTTTGCCCAACTTACAAGCAACTACTTAGAAGAATGTTTTAATTTTCTCAAATTTTGACCATGTTACCACACTTTATTAACTGTTCAAGGGCTCTCAACCTACTCTGAAAATAAAATAAACAATTTCCTGCAAAGCTTTTCCAGAGTATTGAACACTACAGTTGGAGAATGATGAACAAATCTCCATTCATACCACCCTGCATGGCAGGTTAGTATGGTGCTCCCTAATTTGGACCACAGAAAATATTACAGCCACTGGGTTTTGAGTGCCTGAAGGACAGCAAAAGGTCTAGTTCAGGCAGACAGTGTTCAACAGGGAAAAAAACACTCTCTGTGCCCTACAACACAAAAAGCAACTTGGGAGAATTAATGCTTGGCTTCACTCTAAATCTGTAGGTGAAAAGTTATGAACAACAGTGGAGTGTGCCTAAAGGGGGGCAATGGAGCTGGGGAAGGCTCTGGAGCACAAGTCTGATGAAGAGCAACTCAGGGAGCTGGGAAAGGGGCTCAGCCTGGAGAAAAGGAGGCTCAGTGAGGACCTGTTGGCTCTGCATGACTCCCTGACAGGAGAGGACAGATGGAGGGGAGCAGAATCTGCTCCCAGGGAACAGGGACAGGAGGTGAGGGAATGGCCTAAAGTTCTGACAGGGGAAGTTTAGATTACCTATTAGGAAAAACTTCTTCACCCAAGGAGCTGTCCAGCCCTGGCACAGCTGCCTAGGGCAATGCTGGAATCCCCACTACTGGAGGGATTTAAAAGCTATGTGGATGTGGCACTTGAGGACATGGGCCAGTGGTAGCCTTGGCTGTGCTGGGGAATGCTTGATCTCCATGTTCTTAGAAGGTTTTTCCAATCTAAATTATTCAAAGATCCATTTATATAGGAAGCTTTCACATTCTCACAGATTTTTCAGAGGTGGTGTTTCCCATTCCCACTCCCCACACTGTAACCATTGAGCTGACTCATTAGCTTTCTTCAAAGCCCTGATCCCTGATGGCATTCCTCAAAACTCACACAACACTTTTTAAACACCTCACTGGATGCAGCAGTGAAATGAGGATCACTTACCAGTCTGTGCCCTCTGCCAAATACCTGGGCTGGGGACCCATGGGTTGTGGAGTCTGCAGTTGGTGACTGAAGTCGAAGCTGGGGTGTAGGCGGTGAGGCTGGACAGACATGCGCTCTTGGGCCCGCCTGCGGGGAGGACAGCAGCAACAGGGAGGGTCAGACATGAGTGGGCACTGGAATTCCTGCCAAAAACCAATGGGAAAACTCCAAAGGCTGGGCTTGTGGACAAGCGTCCAAAGCTAAGCACTCCAAGCAGGTGTGAGGGATAATGGGAAGAGGAACCCAGGGCTGTTGTTCCCTCAGAGCCATCATGTAGCAATCCACTCTCAGGCCCTGTGGCACCCACATATGCTCAGTTTGCAGGAGATGATATTTGCTGGCAACATGCAGAAAAGAAGGGGAAACCAAACAACTTCTCAGCAGCTTTGTGCAGTTTGCACTATTTCCTTTTTTGCTGCAGCCAGCCCCATAAGCAACACACAAAGTAAAATGTGCCCCTGCTCCAGCCATGATCCATCATCATAAAGAAGCTGCAGGTTGTCTTGTCTCCCATATAGTCCATAAACTCCTGGGGAACCTCATTCATAACCAGATTACTCACGAGTGACTGAAAGCAGAATTTACTCTCAGTGGCTTTTGCCAACATTTCTTTGGATGATGGACAGGCCAGGCGGGGTTCCAGCTCCTTCTCCCTCTGCTCTGCTGCCATTTCAGGCAGGGAAAAGATAGTGCCAGAAAATACAGTAAGGTTTTTCTAGGGATTTGAGTCTCATGATTATTGCTTATTTGAACTACTAAAGGGAAGAGCGTGTACTGCTGGATCAGTGTCCACATTTGGCAAGAGACAAGGTGGATACACAAGCAGGATTTGCATTGCAGACAGGCTCCTACCCTTTCCTTCCCGACAAGTTACCACTTGCCAGTGGAACCATTACAAAGGAAATCCTCAGGAAAAAATTAGGGCAAATGGAGCAAGAGGACTGACAGGTAAATAACTTTTCATGCAGCCTCAGTTCAGAGGCTTCACTCTCAAAGACATAACCCATATTCCCATTACTGGGATCCCATTATGCCTGCCCTACACCTGTAAGGGCACTGATATCCTGCTTCGTTGCATCTTTCGGGGACAAGCACTGGGACTGTGCAAGAGGTTCCTGCCTTCTTCCACACTACAGCCCACTTCCAAATACAACACTGACAGCATTAACCAAAGCAGATTCTGCATATAATTGTGCTCTGTTCTTTTATTTGAATTCAGCTTATGACTAAGAAATAAACACTTGTATCATCAGTTTCTCAGACCAGAACATACTTGCTACCCAATTATTAGCTAATCATTAAATCCACCTCAAATCCAGTTTATACATAACAAAACAATGATGAGACAAACACACAATTTTCAGACAGAAAGGACATGGAAAGAAAGAATTTTCTATCCATAGCATTCTTTCCAAATGAAGCATTATTGCAAAGTCTCATCCTCTGATTCTTGATCCATGGGTACAACCCACAAATAGCTTCCATATGTTTCCAAGAAAAATCATTCCTCTCTCGAGAAATACAATCAAGACAAGGCCAGGCATCCATTTCCATCTCTGCTGAGTTACAGCAATTCTCTCTGTGTTTGTCAGCTCAGTGTGGATTTAGGATGCTCTCTTTGACAGAGTGTGCTGCAGGTCAGTGGCATCATTCCCTCACAGAGATGGAAAGCCTGCCAAACCCTGAGCAGCACAACCTCCATGTGTATAACCTGATGAGGCAGGCGGGCAGAGCATCTCATATGGTTTTGAAACAGCAGACATGAGGATGCATCTCATGTGTGCAGACACAGAAAAGGTCCCTGGCAACACCACCATGATTCTCCTAGGAGCGACAATAATGGGATGCACCCGATGAGCACAGTAGGGATCCCCACAGGAAGGGCACACCTTCAGGTGCAGCCTGCTCTGCAGCCTCCCTTCTGGTGGATGCATTTTCAATGCACACAGGTGAGCTTGAGAAGAAAACCCAACCCCGCCAGCACGGCTGTGGTTCCACAGGTGACGTGAGGTTGACATGGCTTCTCCACATCCTTTGGGAAGAGCAGGATCCCCTTACCTGGGATGGGGCATGAGCCGGCGGTGCTGTGCCTCGAGGAGCTGCTGCTGGAGGAGGTATTGCTGGTGTAGCGCCTGAGGTAGGAAGGAGGGCCCAGCAACGTCCTGGAAGGGCAGGGCGGGCACCGGCGCCAGGGGCTGGTGCAGGGCGCCGCTGTGCTGGTGCGTGGGGGCCATATGGGGAGCCAGCCCCGGCTGTGGCTGCACCGCGTGAGGCAGGGCAAAGTCGGCGGAGAGCTGAGGCTGGGGACCCAGGTGGAAATGCCGGCAGGAGGTAGCATGGGGATGCTGAGACCTTTGAAAGGGAGCACCTGGAAGAGAAGAGCACAGTGGTCACGGGGGCCGGCAGCGGGCAGGGCAGACCAGCGCCGTGGTCACCCACCCAAGAAAAGGGTTGGGCAAATGGCTGTTACTCTCCACTTGCAGAAGGTTTGTTAAAAATACAAGTAAAAGAGAGCAAGTTAAAAGCTGATTACAAGAAAAAGTGCTGGTTTTGACTGATGGTATTTCTTATCCAAGAAAACATTGGAGCCAAAACATGGATTTTGGTTCAAAATCCTATTTTGACTCCAAGTTGAAGTGTATACTGATGGAAACTGCTTTGAGCTTGTTTTGGCTTTCCTGTCTCAAACAGAAAAAAAAAACAAAAGTCTTAATAGAGCCTTTGGAGATAAAAAAGGGAGTGATGGCTTTAAACAAAAAGAGAGGAGATTCAGCCTAGATAGGAAGAAGACATTTTTTGTGCTGAGGATGGTGAGGCCCCTGGCACAGATTGCCTAAAAAAGATGTGGATGCGCCCTCCTTGGAAGTGTTCAAGGCCAGGTTAGATGAGGTTTGGAGCAACTTTGTCTAGTGAGAAATGTCCCTGCCCATGGCAGTGGGGTGGAACTAGATGACCTTTAAAAGTCCTTTCTAACCCTAATCATTCTGTGATGGAGACTCAAACACTCTAGAAAAGGAAATAAACAACAAAACCTGTCATCTAAAATATTTGGGTTTTGGATATTATCTCACAGAAATTTTAAATGTTTTCCCTGAATTGCAGACTTTTCCTGCAAGTAATTTCTTTAACCTCTCTAAAACTGTCTCATAGGCAAGAAAATAATCTCTGCTCTAAAAAATTGCCTTACACTTACTGCAGGACATGAGTGAGACAACTTCCACCTCTGAGAGCAGGGATGAAGGCCCTGTGTGTTTGTTGCAGGGAGAGAGCAGCTGCTGGAAACACAACATGGACTGCTATGAGATCAGTCATGAAGCTGATGGCAATGAGGAAGAAATGAGGTGTGAAAGATCCATAGTGGAGGCGTTTTGCAAAACATCTGGCATTGGCTTGCACTTTGCTCAAGATCCTTGCTTGGACGAGCCCTTGTCCCAGTCCGATGTGTTAATTCCTACATTCCTGGATCATTTACAGGCATCATACAAAACTTTTGGCTCTTTAACTGGGGAAAGAGTCAATTCAGAAACTAAGGATGGGACTCAAGTGAGGTTATTAGAGATGCCTCTTTGCTGAGGATCAGCCCCAGGATGGGACATCTGCCTTTTTACAGTGTTTTGAACAACACATCTTCCTCTTTCTATTTTAATCTTTGTGAATGGTACAAAACATTCCCAGAACAGCACCAAGAGACATTATTTCATCCCAAAGCACAAGCATGTACATCATGCCTTCTTCACCCAGATCCCTTCTGCTCACATCTCCCTAGCAGGCAGGGCCAGTCCACCACAGCAGCTCAGGGTGTCCTGAGCAAGCCAGATGCCGGCAGGAGAAACAGGAGAGAGCCTATCAGAAATGGATGGTTTGCAAAACTGTGCATAATTACACACAGCACCTCTTAAATGCAAACTAATACTCCACAGTGCCCCTCTGAGAGACAGCAGGTTACACAATATGTGCCACCCACAGCAGTGCTTCCTGAGGTGATAATTTCCCCTGCTGTCAGATAACAGCATGATTCGACCATAATATTAATTAAAACTAGAGGTGGTGGGATCAGACCTGCTGCTCCTCAATGACAGAGCTGCAAACCCAGGCCAAAGAGCCATTCATATACCCTGTTCCACTGCAGGTTGTATTTGTTGTTGACAGCCTGGCCCAAATTCACCACAAAGAGGTAAAGACTGAGTAATGAAATGGGGATTATGCACTTCCCTGGCCATTGCTGAAGGGAACTGTGAGGAGAAGCTTCTTGGCTGCTGTGAGTGCTTGATACTTTCCAGGGAACTCGTGGTGAATTGCTCAGCCTCTGATGGCCATGTGCTCTCTCAGTGGAGAACTGCTGCAGCAGGTCACGGGTGAACCACTGTGCACCCCCAGGCTTTCACAGGGCCTGGAGACAAGGTGTGAGAGCAGGTGAAAGTGCTAAACCTTCTGCACACACACACCAACCTGTGCCACCACGCTGAGGTTCAGCTGTATTCCAGACAAAAATATCTTGGGGCGATACCAGACAGTGAAACTCAGGAAGACTCCCCCACATTTCCTGGGACACATTCTCTAGCACATAAGTAAAGCAGAGAAAGCCTGTCTATCATCTCCTGTGACTCTCTTGTCTCTCAATGCCTGGTGTAACCTCAGCCAGTGGTTTCCAGCTTTTACTGAGTCATGGGAACCCTTAAGTCAGTTAAATGTGTGGAGGGCCATTGATGCCAGAGCCATGATGAACTAGAGTGCAGGTGGACAGATCAGCTGGCCATGTTTTTTATTTGGATTTTGCCTCTCATGCAAATACAGTCCTTGAGAGGAACTCAGTCTTACTTTTCCAAGGTCCAGAACATGCAAATACTACACTTTATCTGTAATATGTGTGCAGGAAGATACACAGAGCTAACATATCAGAAAGCAAAAGCCCAACTTATTTTGTTTTGGTACATCAATTAGCTTTATCTTTAGGAATTGATTAATTAAATAAAGCATTTTTCAGTATTTTTTTGCTAGTACCTACTGATGCAGTGATGCATTTCTCTTTATAGGAATAACATCATCAAGATGTGACTGAGACAATATGATTAAATAAAACCCATCAATTTGTCTTAACATAACACATTACCCTACGTAGTAATTGTTCATTCTCTTCAACTAATCCAATTGCTGATGAGGATTTTTACAGCAAAGCAAAGACTTTGGGGAATACTTCAGCAATCCTATGCTTATTAGCAGTTATCCAATTACACTGCTGGCATAACCAAGCCAGTCTGCAAAACAAAGCGCCAGTCCTCACTAAGCAGGGTACTGGGGAGCCTCAGAAAGCCCTGGCAAACAAGTAACAGTTCAAAACAAAGCATTACACTTTTAAATTAGTTATTTTTGTTTATATTCTCCTGCTCATTGCATCTAGATGCAAAGGGCCCTGGTGTGGATTGCTTTCCCACCCCACATTTTGGTCTCATGTACATAAGGTAAATACAGTACACTGTATTTACAAATGCCCTGCAAACATGAGATGGGCATCCTTGTCCATCCTTGTTCTCACCACAGTCATCATCAAAAGCAGGCACTCATCCCTTTGAATTCCACAAAGGTTCACACATTAGCAGTGTCAGAGAATCACAGGATTGTTAAGGTTGGAAAAGTTCTCTAAGATCAGCAAGTTCATTAACCCAGAGTCATCACGTTCAACCTTGACCGCAGATGTCACATTCACAAGACTATTGAACACCTTCAGAAGTGGGGACTCCACCACTTCCCTGATTGCCTTTTCCAAAGCCAGACCACTTTCTGTGAATAATCTTTTCCCAATATTCAACTTAAACCTCTTCTGGGAAAGCTCAAGGCCATTTCCTCTCATCCTGTCCCTTGTTCCTGGGGAACAGAGCCTGACCCCCACATGGCTGCCCCCAGCTTTCAAGGAGTTGTGGACACCCAGAAGGTCTGTTGCTGATTACTTTGCTAGCACAAAGTCTTCTCCCTCTGTTCCAAGGCACAAGTGTGGTCCTAGATCACATTTGCATTGACGCCAGCAAGCATAAACATTGCCCATAAGATACTTCAAGAAAATTGAGTTCATCTGCTTTTTGCTTGGATAGCAATGTCTGCCACAGCAGAGACTAATCCGTGACTAAAACCAAGTCCTGATACCATGTTCCAGCTTTTGTTTCCATTCCCCACTACAAGGGCAGAGCTGACATTTTCATTAGCCAAGCTTTGGGGACGTATCCACAGCAAAGACAATGAGGATGTGAAGTGTACCTATCATGCTCCAGAGCCACTAACTGCATCCTCCACAATCCTTATTCGCCATCATCTGTACGGGTCATCACACCATAGAAGGATTCTCCTCCTCCACTGAGATACTTTGATTTTGCAGGAAGAGAAATTAACCAGATCTTGTATGTTTTTATGGCTTACTCTTCGTGTCCAAACACTTGCCTTCTTCAGCCCAGGAAACAATCACAAAATCCCAGAATTAAGGTTGGACGGACCACTAGAGATCATCTAGTCGAATCCTCCTGCACAGGCAGGGTCCCTAGAACATGTTGCTAAGGATTTTGTCTGGCTTTTTCATATCTCCAGGGAAGATTTTCAGGGAAGTCTACAGAGGCAATGCAGTCCTTACCAGCCCTAGAGAGACTTTTGACCCAAGGCCAGCCTGGAAACACCTTTTGCTGTGCCCAGCCTGCTGGTTGGGATGAGAGGGCCAGCCCCCTGTGTGAGGCTCATCAGCGTGTTCCTGCTGCCTTGAGTAATTCCAGTTGCTCCTGTCTGGAGCTATGAACAACTGATTTACCTGGGATCACTGTCAGGCTGCCCACCAGCCAAAAACCATTTTGTTGTCCTGATGGTACTTCCTTTCATTTAAATGCTGTTGCTGTAGCAGATGATGACAGCTCAGAGCAACATCAGATCAGAAGCTCTGAGATGAGCGATGCATCGCATCTGTGTCAGCAAAGCAGGTGATTTGTTCCAGTTTTGGGTAGTTTTCCTTTCACAGGTTGAGGCCGAATGTCCTCAAAATGGCCCCTAGATGCTCACATGCCAACCTAAGCTCCCAGCTTGGACAACCCTTGTTGCCTTATGCTCAGCTAAGCCATGGAGATAGCTAATGCCTGAATCTACCTAATCCAGGTCTAAAAGGTGCTTTGCAAGCCTCAAAATTTGTGATAACACATGGAGACCAAGAGAGGATCTGATGGAGAAATTAATCACGTCTTGGGCAAGCCAGGCTATCTGTGGCGTGGGAAAGACACCTAGGTGGTTTTTTGGCATAACTAGGGACAAGTCTGACCCAAAAGAACCTGTGGCATTTTGTGATGGTATAGGACCATATGGCCAGGGATGCCTTTGGGTGACCACCCACAACACTTCCCT